TTGGTTGGGGATGCTCTACACAGGCTGAAGGAATTCTTTCTCCAGGTTCCTTCTCTTTGATATTCTCTCCTCAGTTACTAGTTGAGAGGGTGCAGTTGTCACCTGCCATCATTGGATGGGGGGTAGAAGTCTGAGCTCCTCACTAGACCGACACTGTTGCTATGGGAGGACATCCTGCACTAGGACCCCTTCCACCTCTGGTTAATGGGCAGAAGTCCACGCTCCCCACTTTCTCTCTGATAATACTGCAAAGGGCAGGGAGCATCAGCAGGGTTTTGCCTGGGTAGGTCAAGTATTATCAAGAAGGTTTCTGGGCACCCTCTTTTTCAGTCCTTTGCTTAGAAAGAGTAGATTTTTCTTGAAGCTTTTTTGTCTGTTCCTCTTGATGTCTCTGGGCTTTTCCAGAGCCTAGTCTATAAGATACAGAATACAAAGACACCTCAGGGAACTCACCACAGTGTCATTCCTCACATGCTGAGGTCTTAGCCAGTCCATCTTCCTCTTTCTACTTTCCAGAGTTCTCTTACAGTTGTCAGTTATATATCAGGGTTTTTAGTTGTACTTAGTGGAGAAATGAGTCTAATCCATCTTGTTTGGAACAAGAAATACTTTTTAATGTATTTTAAATTTCTGTTTTAGGAGCAAACACATTTAAGATTGTTATGTCTTCTTGGTAACTTGACCCTTTATCACGGTATAATTTCCCTCTTTTTTTTCTTTTTTTGAGACGGAGTTTCACTCATGTTGCCCAGGCTGGAGTGCAATGGCACCATCTCAGCTCACTGCAGTCTCCTCCTCCTGGATTCAAGTGATTCTCATGCCTCAGCCTCCCGAGCAGCTGGGACTGCAGGCATGAGCCACCATGCCCTGCTAATTTTTGTATTTTTAGTAGGGATGGGATTTCACCATGTTGGTCAGGCTGGTTTCGAATTCCTGACCTCAGGTGATCCACTCGCCTCGGCCTCCCAAACTGCTGGGATTACAGGCATGAGCCACTGCGCCCGGCCCCTCATTTCCTTCTTTATCCCTAATAACATTCATTGTTCTGGAGCTTATTGTGCCTCATATTAATAAAGCTCCTCCAGGTTTCTTTTCATGACTGTTTACATGAGACATCTCTTTCCATACTTTTATTTTTAACCTATCTTTTTATTTAAAATGGGTTATTTTTGATAGTATATAGTTTGGTCTTGCTTTTTTATCCAATCTGACATTCTCTGCCTCTTAATTGGTGCTTTAAAACCATTTCTTTAATGAAATATTGATGCAGTAGGCTTTGAATTTAATATCTTGCTGTTTTTTTCTTTGTTCCATCTCCTTTTTGTTATCTTTTTTTGCTGTCTTTTGGATTGAGCATTTTTTATTATTATATTTTATTTCTATTATTGCCTTATTACTTTACCTCTTTTTCAAAAAATTTTAGTGGTCTCTCTAGGGTTTGCAGTGTACATCTTTCATTAGTTACAGTCAAGTAATTATACAGCCTCACTTGTAAGAAACTTTTAACAGTATACTCCCAACTCCTAATTATTTGTACTGTTATTGTCATGAACTCCTTTTACATATACTATTAACACAATACGTTGCTATTGTTTGTCCATTAAACAGTTATCTTTTAGAGTAGTTAAAAATAAGAAAAAAGTGTATTTCATACTTATCATCATGTTTACCATTTTCACCAGTTTTCATTTCTTAGGTAAGTTTCTCTCTGGTTCTACTTGAAGAACTTGTTTTAATACTTTTTGTAATGGAGGGCTGCTAATAATACTTTCTCTTAGCTTCAGAACGTTTTTGTCTTTCACTTTTGAGAGATATTTTCATTAGAATTCTGGATTGGGAGGCTTTTTTCCAATGCTTTAAAGATGTCACTCTATTGTTATCTGGCTTGAATAATTTCTGATGAGAAGTGTAATGTAATTCTTGATTTTTCTTTATATAATGTATCTTTTTCCTCTGATGGCTGCATGATTTTCTCTTTGTGTCTATGTGCATGTTGTTGTCATTTTTGGTTTGTTTTTATATCTGTGTTGCTTGATCTTTGAGATTCTTGCATTTGTGGTTTGGTGTCTTTCTTATATTTGGCAAATTCTAGACATTAGTTCTTCAACAATTTCTTCTCTTCCCTTCTTTCTTCTTCTGTGATTTCTATTATGTGTATGTTATATTTCTTGATATTGTCCTATAGCTCTTAGAGGCGCTGTTCTGTTACAGTTTTTTTTTTTTTTTCCTTTTCCTTTTTTTTCTCTCTGTGTTTCAGATTGGATAATACCAATCCAATTTTAGGTTCACTGATTCTTTCCTTAGCTGAGTCAAGTTATCTGTTACTGTGTTGGTTTTATGTATCTCTATCTATATATCTAACATTTCCATATTATTCTTTCTAAAAGAAAGGATTTCTATTGAAGTAATTTCTACAGAAATGCCCTATCTGTTCATGTGTATTGATAAAGATGATCCTTTATCATCTTAATCATCATTTGCTTGCTTTTTCATGTTTAAGTTTTCCTTGAAAGCCAGACATTGTAGGTAAGAGTCTGAGGTGCCAGACTCTTTTTTTTTAATGTACCTATATATCACTCACAACTTAGATTTTCCCTATCAGCCTGTGCCTCAGAGAGGGTCTCTCTCCATGTTCATTTCTCTCCTAGAAGTAGATTGCTGTTATGTATCACTTGGATCATGCTAGGTTTGTGGTAGGGAGAAAAGGAGGGTTCTCTGTTACTCTGATTTAGCTTCAGTCTCAGGCAGGTCTTTCAATCCTGCATCTCAGGGGTGGGGCTCTTTCAGCAATCCTGCCCCTCTCCCACTGCCAGAGGCAGAGATCCTCTACGGGGCAGGGCCCAGAATGGTTTCCTGGTCCTCCTGAGGGGTAGAGGGGGTTTTTTGTTTGTTTGTTTTTGTTTACTTCCCTCAGCAACCTATGCTCTGGGGATAACATTTTTGCTGACCTTTCGTCAGTGGCTTAATGCTTTTTTTCTTCAGGGATAAAGATGTGATTGGGGCTTCATGTCCGTCCTGCAGTGGGGGTGATTCTCTTTTGCCAGAATTGGATCTGGAGGGAGATCTTTTCTAATTTCTTGCCCTTCCCCAGTGAGCTACAGAGAGACTGAGGACTCTTGTGAGTGCCCACTGAGGTCTGTAGAAAATAGCCTGCAAGGCCAGGCACGGTGGCTCACGCCTGTAATCCCAGCACTTTGGGAGGCCGAGGCGGGCAGATCATGAGGTCAGGAGATCGAGACCATCCTGGCTAACACGGTGAAACCTCGTCTCTACTAAAAATACAAAAAATTAGCTGGACATGGTGGCGGGCGCCTGTAGTCCCAGCTACTTGGGAGGCTGACTCAGGAGAATGGCGTGAACCCAGAAGGCGGAGCTTGCAATGAGCCGAGATCGCGCCATTGCACTCCAGCGTGGGCGACAGAGCGAGACTCCGTCTCAAAAAATAAAGAAAAAAAAAGAAAAGAAAATAGCCTGCAAATGGACGTGATGCCCCTTGTGTCCAAGCCACCCAGGGTTTTTATATTTTCATGGTAGCTCACCCTTGGCCTTTTGCAGTTTATCAAAAAGTTTAGCTGAAATCTTACCCAGAGATAGAGTGGTACCAATTTTTCTCGTGTGTACTGCCCTATGTCAACCAGCGCTCATGATCCCCCTCTCCTCTAAGGCACTCATCTTTCTTTAGGTTTCAAGGTAGTTGATTGCCGTCTTACTTTAGCTCTGATGGATTCAAGAAAAATTATAGTTTTATAAATTATCCAGCTTTTTCTCGTCATTAGGGTTATAGCTAATTATTTATAGCTCTCTACAACCTAAACAGAATCAGAAATCTCCCTGAAAAAGATTTAAGCCACTAAATTCTACCCAATCCTAATAATAGTTTTCTTAATATCTTAGAAGAGGATATGCCAGATGTTCTTTATCTTTAGTGATACTTGTATTAATGGATTGGATAGAATGCAGATGATCCCTGTGTTTTTCATGTTATTCCATGACTCATTTTGGAAAGGAGAGAACCACTAGCTGGTCATGTTCACAGGGAGATTGTTTACATTGTTTCTACTGGTTTTACAATATCAGGGAGGCAAAAGGTATCTCTCAGTGCTTGGAAAACATAAACTTTATATTGAGACAGTTGCATTCTTAAATGATCCTCATAAGGTCTGTGGTTTAAAAAAAATAAAACTGTATAGGGGATTATTTCAAACATACAGAAATAGAGAGAAGAGTTTACTGATTTCCCCATATGCCTACTACGCAGCTTAAACAATTATCACACCATCTTAATGTTGTTTTATCTACCATTTACGCCCTTTTTTCCATGGATTATTTTGAAGCAAATTCCAGATATAATTTTTAAGTATAAATGAGTGTAAGGGATTGTAAATTTTTATTTCATACCATATGCATTTCAGTTTTAATGTATTGACTTTGGATGCAGAAAGATAGCATTTGCAAATTCTGTGCTGTTTGCATTCAAAGGCATTTAATGTGTGACAGGGTGTATTCCAGATCTCTTTTATGTGTGTAATTGGTAACCATACCTACAGACAAAGGTTCTGGAGGCAAGGACATTTTTCCTGGTATTTGTAGACCTTTCTCTCTCCTTGAACAGTAGCCTGTTGTACTGCATTTAGTACATTGGAATTTGAGCAGACATCCCCTAATAATTGAATTCACACTAAAAAATTAATTTTCATCTTTCATTGAGACTTCTGTTTAGACCTATATATTCAAAGGAGAAAGCAAAGTGACTTGACTTTACTCTTCTGGTTATACGTTGAACAACATGTGCATGTGTAAGAGTTCAGTGTTTTAACTTCATGGTTTTTTTTAACCTTTTGTTTTGAAATGGTAATTGATTCACAGAAAAATTGTAAAAATAGATCAGGGAGTTCACATATACCTGTCACCCATCTTCTAATGTTAATAACTTAAATAATTACTGTACAGTGATAAAAAAAAAAGTAGTTAACCTAGTGGTTATTTTCTTATTTTAACAGCTGCTGAAATAGTTCAAGAAATCGAAAATATGGAGAAGACTAGGATGCGTCTTGAAGCTAGTAAACTCAATGAAAGTGTATGTTAATGGGCTATTTCAGTATCTGGATAGAAATGAAGAAAGAAAGTTTAATACCCAACAAAAATTAAAGCAAACCATTATTAAATTTATTCATTTACTAAAACATTTCCACGTAGTGTATTATGATTTACTTGCAACTCCTTTTAGGACAATATTTGATTGTACTTAGCAGTCTTCTAGTACAACATGCAATTCAAAGTAGAGTTTGTTCATGAGCTAGAGTTCTATAGAAAATGCCTATGCCTGTGCATCAGGCAGCTTTGATATTGGTCCTTTCTCTGCTGGTTGTGTTCGATAAACTGCCTCTAAGGACCTCTAAGCTACCGCTAGGGACCTCTATGATTCCTTGTTAGCTCTGGCATTCTGCAATTCTGTGATTATACTTATGGACATGTTAAGTAATTGTAAGAGGATAAATTAAGTAATTTGAGGATGGAGTATTCTCTTGAGCTTTTGAGAGAATCAGAGACCTAAAATTCTTCACTGTTGCCTTCCACTAGCTTGATGGCCCCAAACTTGAAGACAGGATACCAGTGAAGAAAATAGTCATTGTGTCCTGTGACACTGGAGGAAGTGTTTTGGTCTCTTCCAAGTAGACTTCTTTTTTTTTGTAGGCCATCTGTAGTGTGTTTGTAAGGAAAGCAATGGTTACCTTAAGAAAGTAAGTTTATAGCCAAATAAGTAGGAACAAAAATGGAATTTACATTGACCCTATTATTACCTGTGTGCTATCTGTAAGATGAGAACTGTAGTGAATTATGGAAGTATATTTCTGATCTTTTAAGTCTGAGGTTTAAAAAGTGGACCTAGAAATTTAACTTACTGTGTTTTGTATTATTGCATTTTCTATACATACTACTTTTCTATAATGACCTGGAGAAGTTAGGTTGGAAAGAGAGAAGGCAGACAAGAAGATCAGCCTTACTGATAGTCAGCTAAGTGTCATCAGTCTTCTGGTTTCAAATATTGCCTGTTGTATTAATGAATGTGGAAAATTAAATATTGAAAATAGAAAATTTATTATTTTGTTAATATATGATTGAATCATGTTGCATTTTCTACTGATAAGAAAAAATAATGAGTAAAATGTATACTGTTTCTGGTATTTAAGGGAAGTCCATAGGAATGATTCTTCCTAGGTCTATATAAAACAGATGACAGATCATTTTCCTCTATTTTACACACTCACATTTGAGATTTGAAAGTTTGTAATATTTCCCTTTTTATCATTTTGGGGAGATTTTTATTCAGACTTTTTTTGATTATTTTAGGTAATGGTTTTTACAAAGGACCAAACAGAAAAGGAAATAGATGAAATTCACAGTAAATATCGTAAGTTGCGTGACTTTTTTTATTTGTAAAGAGCTTCGGTTGCTGTTTTTCATCTTAAGTAATTTTTTCAGGATAATGTTTTATATTAAGGTTCAATTCAAACTTTTGTTAACATTACTTAAGAGATTGAATTTTAATTGGGTGTTACTTAGTGACTTTTTTTGTATTTTATGTGCCTGCTTTTTTGTTTTTATGACTAGCATTCTACTTTGAGCTTTGCAAATATTAATTAGCTGCTCTCAGAGCATCTCTGTGAGAAGAAGCCGGGTTTAAAATGGAAACATATGGAGGTTCTATCCTGTCCTCAGGCCACTCAGTAACAATACTTCTGTATAGGATTTCAACGCTTCTATATTTGTGCCAAAAATAGTTTTCATTTTATTGCTTGTTAGCAACTCCCAACTTTATCACTTCCTTTTCCTTAAATGTCTTTGTGTATATCTTTCCTAGGGCTAACACATTACTGTTTTGTCAATTGGATAGCTGTTATTCTTTGTGTGATTGGTTGGTTTTTAGTTTAAATTTAAGTGCCTGACGAACAGTAGATGGTTAATAGATGTTCACTGAATCAGTATTCCCAGGCATGGTGTGTTTTAATTGAGGTAAGATAATTTTTTTCTCTCTTCATTTCTTAAACTCTGAAGGCCCAGGTTCTGTAGTGATGTATTGTGGGAAGGAGGATGAAGCACACCTGCACTGGATGTAGGTGTGATCGCCTGTGCCTTGGTAGAATAGGAAAAGGACCCTAGAGGAGTCTTGGATTATGGACTGAACAACAAAAGTCGCCATTATTCTGTTGCTAGACAGATAAGTATGATGTGAACCTCTTTGATCAACTTTTAGGATGCCAGAGTGATTTTTTAGAAAGGAGAACAAAAGAGAATATCAAATGATCACACTGAATTGGCCTGTAAAAATAAAGCCTGTGAAAATAAGGAAACCAGAAAATTTGCATTGGGAGAAAGTAATTTAAATAACTGAAAGGGTGGCATCTAATAATTATCCCATATTAAGAAAAATTTGGACTGTATACAGTCAAGAAAATATTCATTGCCCACCACTTAGATATCTAAAAAGTAACTTTACTAAATAGATGGTATTAAATTAATTGATTTAACCTTAAAATAAACCTCAAAAGTCAAGTGCTTCACAAAGCTTAGATGCTTAGCCTTTTAGTTTATTCATACATTTTGATTTAGTGTCAGGTTCTAACTATACCGTTGATATATCTTCATCTTTTAAACATTTTATTAATGTTTTACATGTTTTTTTAATCATTTACTTTTTATGAGGCTTATCATATAAAAGAGCAGTCTCTTGCTTCCTCCAACAATGTGCCTCTATTCCCATTCCCTAGAGGGAACAACTATGAAACCTTTTGGCGCTACTTTTGGTTATTACCTTACAATTTATAAAAAGGTATTATTTCTGCTATTTCTTGAAGCTTTTCAATTTCACATTAACTATTGATGTGCTAATATGAAAGGTGGAGATTTAGCTCATTTATGTATCCTGAGCCCTACCTTTGCTTCCTTTCCATCCTTTAAATATTATGTCATAAGTTTTTGTAAGATCAGTATTAAGTTAGATACACTGTTTATGGCTCAAGCCAGACAATTTGCATAAGATGGTTATAATTCATTTCATCAAAACATTCTTTTTTTCTTTTTTTTCTTTTTTTTTTTTTGAGATGGAGTCTCACTCTGTCACCCAGGCTGGAGTGCAGTGGCGCGATCTTGGCTCACTGTAAGTTCTGCCTCCTGGGTTCATGCCATTCTCCTGCCTCAGCCTCGTGAGTAGCTGGGACTACAGGCTCCCACCACCACACCCAGCTAATTTTTTTGTATTTTTAGTAGAGATGGGGTTTCACCGTGTTAGCCAGGATGGTCTTGATCTCCTGACCTCATGATCCTCCCGCCTCAGCCTCCCAGAGTGCTGGGATTACAGGCATGAGCCACTGCGCCCAGCCCTGTTTTTCTTATAATTAATAATTCTCTTTTATTTGTTTAACTATTTACCTAGTACTAATATATCTCGAAACCTTCCAACAGAAGTATAAATCACTTTCCAGTACATTTACACACATTGATTATAACTCATTATTTTCTCAAGAACTTCTCCCCTAGGGCCACCCCTAGTCTCTGTTGTCCTGTTCCAGTCTACTGTGCTTGCCCTTTATGCCTTCTATTAATACATGGCTGCTTCTCTGGAATTTATTGTCACCAGCTTTCTGGGAATTCTGCTCTCCTCCTTCCTGTGTTGGTTCACTTCTTCCAGGTTCCAAGTCTCCGTCTTCTCTTGCCTTGTTTTGGTAGAGTACATTTTCCAGGAAACTTCCTGAGAAAGGGTGTATGCAACCTTGTCCAAACTGCGGCCCGTGGGCCGCATGTGGCCCAGGATGGCCTTTGAATGCAGCCCAAAACAAATTTGTAAACTTTATTAAATACTGTGATAATTTTTTTTTCTTTTTTCTTTTTTTTTTTTGGGTCATCAGCTATTGTTAGTGTTAGTGTATTTTATGTGTGGCCCAAGACAATTCTCCTTCCAGTGTGGCCCAGGGAAGCCAAAAGATTAGACACCCCTGGTGTAGGGGAATTTCTTGAGATATATAACATTCCATACATAACAGGAAATAACACCTTTATTATTGATTGATAATTTGGCTGTTTGTAGAACTTTAGGTTGAAAAGATACTTTTCTCCGAATTTTCAAAGGTATCCTTCCATTGTTTTCTGCTTTCCAGCACTGTTGCTAATAACTAGCTTGCCATTCTGATTCTTTATCTTTCATTTATTACTTTTTTTTCTTGATCTGCCCATGTTCAGTTCACCATCAAGTTCTGTCAGTCTCTATCTTGTAAATATCCCCTGAGTCCATACACTTCTTATGTATCACTTTGCTTTCTTGTCATCCCCCATCTACTCTTGACCCTTCCTAATACTCAGAAGCCAAAACTGTCTTCCAGAACTGCTGAGTCTTCACATCATTGCCATTTCTGCCTTGCTGCCCTCCTGCCGTTATAAAGAATTCTTCAGTGGACTTTCCATTTCTCTTAAGCTAGAGTTTGTAAAGTCTGTTATTTCCTGTATCTGGACCTGCTGAGCTCTCTAGCATTGCCTCTTCTCTTCCCCTTACTCCTTGTATTCCAGTCACTCTGGATATCTTTTACCTCCTTTACCAAGTCCTTCAGTGTTTTAGGGCATTTGTTACCCTCTTCTCTCTTTGTCTGGAACTATGTCTTTCTCTAATTGCTTCTGACCCCTATCTATACTACCTACTCTCAATCAGCTCAATTGTAGTTTCCCTGGGAAACCCTTTGTGATCTCAGACAAGGTAAGATTTTCTTTCTATATGTACTTACATTATCTTGTGTTTTTTCATAGTACTATTCCATTCGTTCAACCATCACAAGTTTTTCTAGTACTTAGCATGTGCCAGATGCTATGCTCAGAGCTGGGGATACAGGAATGAACAAGACAGACAAAAAGCCTACTCTGTTGGAGTTTATATCTTACTAGTATTTTAGAAAGTGATAAGTGAAAAAATAAAGCAAGGAAGAATATAAGAAAAGTTTAACTTTTTGATAAAATGGTCATAATCGTTATTTATTGTGCAGTTAATTAGTTTCTTATTTCTAATTAATTTCTAATTAATGTGTTTTTATCAGTGTACTAGGGCTGCCCAAACAAAGTACTGCATGTAGACTGCATGGCTTAAATAACAAATTTATTGTCTCGTGGTTCTGGAAGGTAGAAGTCCAAGAGCAAGGTGTCAGCAGGGTTCTGGAGGCTAGAAGTCCAAGATCGAAGTGTCCTGAGCTTCTCAGGGCCGTGCAGGAAGGATCTGTTCTAGGCCTCTCTCCTTGGCTGTAGACGGCCATCTTCTCCCTATGTCTCTTGACATCATCTTCCCTCTATGTGTGTCTCTATGTCCAAATTTCCCCCTTTTATAAACATATCAGTTGTATTGGATTAGGGCTCATCCTAATGACCTCAGGGGTGGCTCCTCTGTCATTTCCCTATCATAAGCAAAGTCCTGAGGTTGGGGAAAAAACTGTCTCGCTTAGAAAAGAAAAAAAAGCTTAAAATGAATAGTGGGGGGTTGGGGGTCTGGGATAAGAGCCTCTTGCTCTCTGGAAATGGTTTCCTTTAATCACTGTATCTCTACCCCAGTTCAGATCAGCTAGACCTCTATGAAGGGAAACAGAATCAACATTCCTTTTACCCAAAGGAAAGAGAGAGGTGGCAGGATCTTGGAAAAGAGATAGATCCAAGAATTCCACATTTAGCTCACCCTTTGTCATATCCTGGATGAGCCCCCATATGATGGGATAGTTCCCTGGACCTTGACCCCCTTTGTGGGCGGGAACTGGAATAGATCCTTTCACTCAGCCCACTGCTGGCCACTCCTTGCAAGAGGGAACACATGCTGGAACCAGCCGGACGCTCCTCTCTGGTGGGAGCAGGCTCTGTGCAGGCCCCATAGCAGTGTCCTAGCCCCTGCCCTTTCAGCACGCAGGTTCTCGTCCTGCGTCTTAGAAAAATGAAGTTGCACAGATGGATTGGAGTGTAGTGTATGTGGAGGATTTTATTGGGTGATGGCTGGCAGCTGATGGAAGTTGGAAAGGGGATGATGTGGGAAGAAGGTGGTCTTTCCCTGAAGCTGCAGCATCTGAAGTTAGCTGCATTTGTCTGTAGTCTCCAGTGCTCAGCTGCTTGTATCCCCGATGCTCAGCAGCTTGCATCTCTGACTGCTTGCATCAGCTGCTTGTGTTGCTCTGCCAGCTGAAGTATTTTTATGGGCAAAGGATAGAAGCATGACAGACCAAAAAGGCAATATTTGGGCGGCGAGATGGGGTCAGCTGTTTTCACTTAGGGCCAAGGTCCCAGGCTTGAGGGTGGAGTTTAGCCAGGAGCCCAGCCATTCTGTATCTCAAGGACACCAAAGAGCTTTTGTTTATGTGGGTCATATCTATTAATATGTATCACATTATCAATTAAAACTTAGGGATGTCTGTTTCCAGCCATGGAATAGCTTCATTTACTCTCTTACCTAAAACAAGCAAAATGAATGTACAAAGTATATGAAATAGCAATTTTCAAGATACTGGCCATTGGGCACCAAAGGATAGGGATCCTTGAGAGGTAAGCAAAAAATGTGATGAGCCTTATACTAAAGTTTCCTGGCTATAGTGTGGGCAAGTGGGTATTCCAGGCAAAGCCTGGAGACTCTAAGTTAAGGAGAAAGAGCTGAGAGATCAGAGGAACCAAAGGAGTTAGAGTTTGTAGGACGGAGTACTGGAAGGAGAAACCCAGTGATCTGCAGAGAGTTCACCTTGAGTATTCATTTGGCATGCAAAATACATTCTCTGACCACAGTGAAATTAAATTAGAAATCAGTAACAAAGCCCTTGGGAAAGTCGCCAAATATTTGGAAGTCAAATAATCCATTTCAAAATAACCCATAGGTCAAAGAAGAAATTAAAACCAAGAAATTTCAAAAATATTAACAATGAACCCATTACATGTTAGCATAAATAACATATTTTGATTTAAAAAAAAAAAACTGTTTCCCCCTCTCCAAAAAATAAAAATAGAGATTTCTATTAGCCCAGACGGAATAACAGAGACTATATTTACTCTCCTCCATGAAAAAAAAAAAAAAAAAGAAAAACCTAGAAAACCAGGTGAATGTTGAATGGTTTTTCAGATAATAGGAAACAAACAGGTAGCATAGGACTGTGATCTCTGAGATAGAGAGAAAACAAATCATGACTTAGGCCAAACATTGCTGTGAACAGACAACATTACATTTCACAGAGATAGAAGGGAACAGGGGTTTCACAGCTTGGAAGCAGCAAACCTTGACAAGACCAGCCTCAGAAGTATTTAGAGGTCAGAAGTATTTAGAGTTGATTGAGACCAAATTGGAGGTGAGGAAATGAAACCATTAAGGTAGACACCTTTTTGGGGGAGGTTTTAGTGTAAAGGAAAGCAGAAAAATAGGGTCATAGCTGGAGGAGGGGTGTTGGGTCAAGGGAGGGTTTTGTTTGCTTTTTTTTTTTAAAGTTTATTATTTAAATTGGGAGATATTTAACTCAGTGGCTTTCTGATCTTTTTGACTACATAACCCACAGTGAGAGATACATTTTATATCACTACTAACTGTATACATACACGTGACTGAAACAAAGGCTTCACAAAATGGTATTTGCCTTTTCCATTTTTAATGCATTCTGATACTTTTTATTATCTTTATTATTTCAATAAGAAAAAAATGCTGGTCTGGATTTACTGAGTTGTTTTCATAATTCACACTCTAGGTTCGAAGGCACAGTCTCTCTGTTCACAGCTTCATGGTGGAATCCCGAACATAAGTTAGAGGTTAGCCTTTAATTATAGCAAGGACAGTTGTTTCATGGTAAGAACAAGGGAAATAGAGCATAAGTGCAGAGACAAGTTATACTGGTGCTTGAAAGATGACAGAGTTTCTGTTAGAATGATTCTATATTTTTCAAAGTAGTGCAAGACCAACTAAGAGGGGCCACATGGGGAGTGTTGAATATTTGAATGAAGAGAAGAAAGTGTAAGATAGATATTTTGGAGAATTGTAGAGAAAACTTTACTAGAGAAAGGTGCAAGAGTTGTATAGCAGTATTGAATGCCCATTTGAGAATTATGATCATGAAATTAAAGTGTCACTAGTCAGTTCAGGGCTAGATGAAGAAGCCTGTAGTGAACATTAGCCATAACTGTTAAACTCTGTTTTTCATCCACGTTTAGCTGGTTGGCTATAATAGGTGGTATGATGGTGAAAGAAATATATGGGATTTTACTTTGGCAAACACTGACTCCAAACTCATTTCTTGATTTAAAGTGGATGAAGTATCTCAGTGGCATCACTGTAGAAGGGTGTGAGTCTTTTCTACTCTTGAGAGAGCCTGCTTTTAGTCTTTTGTGCCACTGGGTTCTGGGTTCTTGGGCAGACCCAGAGACACTCTGACTGTAAGGGCTGGTCTGAAGAAGAGTAGTTAAAGTGATCAGGGAGTGAAGGGCTTGACTTGGTACTAAAAAAGATTACATTTAAACTTGGAGAGGAACTAAGGATGGAATGATCCAAGTATTCAAAATCGGGAAGAAAATGAGTTGGTTGAATGTGTACTTAGCCATGAACACTCCCACGACTAGCTGAGCCACTTAAAACTTCTAAGAGGTAAATTCAGGACATATACCCACCAGAACTGAGATTTTAAACTCTACAGTACTCCTTGCCAAATGGCAAATCTTCTAAAATGAAGTAAAGAGGTAAGTGGGAACAATGTTACTAGTCTTGATCTGTTGACATTTTTCGTTTTCTGAGTAGGGGTTATTGGAATTCTCTGGCTAAAGCCAGAGTAGTGGCTGCCATTTACTTTTGGTTTCCAGCCTAGCTCTGGGGTAATTAGATTTAAATCTGGGATTTTATTACTTCAGAAGATAATAAGTCATTAAGCCTTCTTAACTGTTAATGCTATTACTTTAGCAAGTTTCTTAACTAATTCTTAAATCTCCAGTCTTTATGTGTACAGTGGAGTGGCCTTAGTAGGAAAATAGCTTAGACCTGGTCTAACTAAATTATGTAGATCCCATAGTACTGTGTCACCCTAGCCTAATAGAAACTACATAATGATGGTGGTAGTGTTAGCCCATTGATTCCAAGGAGCCAGAGAAATACAGGATAGTTATCCTCAAGTGCGTAGAGTACTTAAAAGAAATCACCTAGCTTGTATCCTAGATAGGATCTTACTTGTTTCTAAAGAGTTAGTTTTTTTCCAGTAATCTTTACGTCCAGGATATATTTCTTTTGCTGACATTTTAATGAGTCTCTTATTTAAAATGTACCATACATTTTATAGCCCAACACATTAGTTTCACTAGAAGTTTTCATACATGTACCATACACATAAAAATATTGTAATTAGGAGCATTCTTTCCTGAATGTCTTTGCTGTGCCTCTCAATATTCATGTATAGGAATCCAACTATTTTCTTCCTTGTGCATCACAATTTAGTTTTTCTCTTTTCGTGTTAAAAGATAATTTTCAAAAACAAGTAACATCATTCTCATACGGATGTAAAACGAACATGTGTTTTTATTAAAGATTTAAGCTCATTAGTAGAGAGAGGGCTGATATTATGAGGTGATCAAAGAAGGAGCCAAAGAATCATCACATTTACAGATGAGGAACATTGAAATGAATGTATAATGGGCAAAAAACTGGCTTCTTCCACATTGGAGGACGGAAGTCAGTTGAACCTCCACCCAACAGGATTTTGCATATCTATAGTCAAGAATTATTTTCCATTGCTCTCAGTTATCTACAACATGTACCATAGCTCAAAGGCAGTGAATGTCTGGAATCCTGGGAGAGTAGATTTAGACAATGCCATAGTTCAACTGAAGCTCAGTTTTTTTCCCTACACCCAGTAAATTCCTTATGCCTTAGTATTGTGCTAAGGAAAATGGGAGAAACCAAGTGATAAAAAGTACATTGTTGATTTTTGTACGAAAACAGTGTCAAATTTTTGTTTTAACTATTTGTAGTATGGTTCTCTCTAAAAATTTTACAGGATTTATGACATTACTTTGGACTGTGGCCTAAGTGTTTAACATTGCTAGATAAGTAAACTGCAACCTCAGCTGCATGGTTCAGAATCACAAATACATGCCCTAAAGTCCATGCAGTAATGATGACTGGCTGCTCTTTATTGAACAAATTGATACATTAATAATGGTGATCTTGAGGTCAGGGTTAATTATATTCAAAGATGTTAAAATGGTAGTAAATAAAGATTCGAGTTAGTATAGTATCCTAAGATAAGGTAGAATTGGTTGGGAGAGGTCTTAGAATCTTAAAGGGGCTCGCTCTACTGGGAAACAGGCCAGAAATGTGAAGAAAAAAAAGAGCTGGAGTGGATATCCTTTGTTATTATGATTCAACTTTCCTAGAGGCTTCTATTTTAGATCCAGTGAATACTCTTAGTACTCTTGTATCTTGGAAGTTAGAATGGTATCATTTGTATATATTTAAGAAAGCGTGCATCTTTCTTGCTCTTATGATTATGTAAAAGCCTCTCTAGAGAATGGAGTTTGGGAAGAAACCTAGAGTAGCAAACTAGGAATATCATGTTTCCATATTTGTATTTGAGGAAGAGAGAAGATAAAAAGAATCTTCCATGACACTGCAGCCCTTTGTATTCTTATGCTTGGTAGCTTTTAAATTTATTGCAAGTGATTCCTATGGATGCTGTTCTTGAGCAGTCTGGTACACCTCTTTTTTTTTTTTTCGAGACAGAGTCTCGCTCTGTTGCCCAGTCTGGAGTGCGGTGGTGTGATCTCGGGTCACCACAACCCCTGCCTCCCAGGTTCAAGTGACTCTTGTGCCTCAGCCTCCTAAGTAGCTGGGATCCTAGGCACACAATACCACACCTGGCTAATTTTTTTGTATTTTTAGTAGAGATAGGGTTTCACCATGTTGGTCAGGCTGGTCTCGAGCTCCTGACAAATGGTCCACCTACTTCAGCCTCCCAAAGTGCTGGGATTACAGGCGTGTGATACCACGCTCGGCTAATTTTTTTGTATTTTTAGTAGAGATGGGGTTTCACCTTGTTGGCCACGCTGGTCTTGAACTCCTGACAAGTGATCCATTCACTTCGGGCTCCCAAAGTGCTAGGATTACAGGCGTGAGCCACCACGCCCATCCCTTGTACACCTCTTGGTATTCATTTTGTCAGTTGTAGATGGTTAACTTTCATTGTCCTAGCTTTACTGTGAAGATCTTTTGAATTTCAGGTAAGAAACATAAATGTGAATTTCAGCTTCTGGTGGATCAGGCTAGAAAAGGATACAAGAAAATTGTTGGAATGTCACAAAAAACAGTAACAATAACAAAAGAAGATGAATCTACAGAAAAGCTATCTTCTGTATGCATGGGTAAGAAACTATAATTAAAAACAGACATATGTTGAATTTCATTATTTACTTTTAATATGAAAAGAAAATTAAACCAAGGAAATTTACTTTGGAGTTCCTACTTCTTTGAAATGAGGAAAAGTATTTTTAGACAAACTTCATGTAGCAGTTTGTAAACTAGATTTATTACTGTGCGGAAAATGGTTGGAAGAATGTCCTGAAGAAACAATCTCTTTTTGTCTATCATCCTTTCAGTTAATGACAAATCATAAATTTCTTAGTTATTTAAGCTTGAGGATGTTTTCTAGGTGTAGAATTTATTGGTGGAGATCCTGAGAGATCCTGTAAGAGAGTGAATTATTTTTGTGATAGAACACTGGTGTTTACTTTGGATGAAATGTTCTGCCAAACGGTCTAAAGCTGATATACTGGTAGGCTAATACAGAGCACATTCCTTAACTTTGATCCATTTTAAAATTTGAAATTAATATTTTAATTCTATTGCCTGGGCTTTGGACCAGTGAACAAAAAAGAATCATAATGGGGGAAAGTGTGCAAGAAAATTCCTTATCATGTTTTTCTATACTGTGGCAAAATATATATAATACAATATTTATCTTTTTAACCCATCATAAATGTATAAGTCATTGGCATTAAATACATTCACAATATTGTATAACTATCACCAATGTCTATATCCAAAACAATTTCATCATTCCCAGCACAAGCTCTGCACTCATGAAATAGCAACTCTTCCGTCCCCTCTGCCTCATAGCCCTGGTAATAACGGTTCCACCTTTTGTGTCTATGAGTTTGCCCATTCCAGGTACCTCATATAAATGGAATTGTATAATATTTTCTTTGTGTGTTGACTTCTTTCTCTAAGCATAATGCTTTCAGAGTCCATCAGTGTTGTAGCATATTTTAAAATTTCTTATTATGATTAAACAGTATTCTGTAGTATGTATATGCCATATTTTGTTTATCCATTTATCTGTTATGGTTATTTCCACCTTTTGGTAATTATAAATAATGCTGCTATGAGCATTGATGCTCAAATATCTAAGTTTCAGCTTAGAGTGGGATTTCTGATTCATATACTGGTTCTATGTTTAACCTTTTGAGGAATTGTTAAACTTTTCCGTAGTGGCTGCATTATCTTACATTCCCACCAGCAAAGCATAAGGGTTCCAGTTTCTTCACATCCTTATCAACGCTTGTTATTTTCTGATTTTTAAATTTTTTTAAAATTGTAGATGTGAAATGGTATGTAATTGTGGTTTTGATTTGCATTTCCCTAGTGACTAATAAACAATTTGTGCATAAGGTGCTGCCTCAGTATGTAACTCATGGTCTTTGAACAAATCGAACTTGTTCATGCGATTGTGAAAGGATATTTTTAGAAACTAGTTTAGCACTTGAGAAAATCTGACTGAATATTTCCCATTAAGAAAACTTTTTTTTATTAGTTGAACCTCTCTTGAATATCATTGATGGCTTGTATGTATTTATGAACATCAGTATTACTCTTTCTGGGGTTCAAAGGTGATTGCTGCTTTTAGATTGCTGTGCATGAATGAGATGTCTGAGAGGGTAAGGAATGTGAGAGAGGTGAAGACAGACACAGACTGACTAAAAAGATGAATTTTGTATAGCATCATACAACCGATATAATTGTTGCTCTTTAGGACAAACATTGAAGTGCTCATGTAAGTGAACAAGTTGCATATTCTCTCAAGTGAAAACTTAGCCTGTTTTTGTTGTGTGTCTCTGGGGAGCTCTGATGTCTGAGCCTCACTCCTGAGGCTCTATTTTGAAGTCCTGCATTCTGAGATCTAAGGGCAGGTAGGAAGGATAACTTATTTTTTATGCCTACAGATTATTGAATGCTGTTTGTCCCCAAGAAGGAATATATTGTCTAGAAGTGTATGTAAGAGTGGAAGAAGTAAGAAAAGAATACAGACAATGTGCAAAAATAAAAGATTGTTTTCAGTTGAATTCCTGTTCCCTGGTTTGCCAGCTTTTTTGCATGCGCCTCACTAGTTGAGTAATATAGTCCCTGGGTGAACCGAGTTGACTGGGGGATTGGCTCCTCTTAATGTGATCCTGGTATCTGTTTACAAGAGGAGTTCTTAGAGGTTCAGGATGGTCATCCTGGCTAACTTCTTTTTCTCTTTTCCAGATATACTTTAGAGGGTGCTGTTTTGTTTTGCTAATGATAGTTTATTGATAGCCAGATGACATTAGGAGCATATTTTTAGGAATTATACTCTTGTGAAGTATGCTGTTCTCCCGCTATAACAAAAACTTAGAACTATTTCTGAAAAAAATTTGACTGTGTGAACTTGGCAAGGTTTTTTGAAGAATGTGTTATGTTCTTTCCCCATAAATTCTCTCTGTATAACCAAACCTTGACAATTGTATTTTTATTGTGCTTTGTTGAAGACCACTTGCCTCTACAAGTGCTTGAGGAGTGATGTGTGAAAGCTCTGTTTCTCTGTGAGGAAACACATGAAAGGAGCTCTGTACTATTATTAGCACGTGTAGCTTACATGCGAAAGTACCTCCTCAGTTCCTGAAAGTTAAGGACAGCACAGATGAAAATCCCAGCAGAGTTTATGATGAGTAGGAGAATCCTGGGCACTAAAGAATCTTTCACAGATATTCTTCTCGCTCATATTTGTAGAAAATTGGCCATTCCCATATGCCACATTTTTGTAAACACTGCATCCTTCCAGCTTTTTGGGGTCTTTATTTTTATCTGCAATAAGAGACCTTAAAAGCTGAGAATATGACAAAGAATGCATGGAAATGTGATGTATATTGGATCAAATGGAAATATTCCTTATGTCTGATTAGTTGTCCTTTTCCATAGAGAATAATTAGATTCTATTTAACAGGTTTAGAAAAATGTCCAGATAGATTCACTATCATATAGTAGTGACATATATTGTGGTTGTCTTATTAGTTGAATCTGTAGTCTTTTTTTTTGGTTATATATCTTACGTTGGTTTGTCAGTGTTCTCTGATCTATGAAATATGCAAGAATTCCTCAGTGATATGTTAATAGATGCCTCATTAGAATTACAAGATTCTTCCTGCTCCTGGTTTTAAAATAAATTTTATTTTTAAACTAATTAATCTTGGAAAAACATGGGCTGGATAGTATAATTAGGTAGCACCATTGTAGTGTTAATTCTTGCTCTCTGGCTGTCACTAGAGTTCTGGAATCAATGTGACATATTCTTCAACTTTACTAAGTGCATATGGTAGTATTAAGTGTTGCAGAAGTAATAGGCGTACAGAAGTTGTAGATTTTAACGTACTCTTAAATTTATTTTTTCCTAGGACAGGAAGATAATATGACCTCAGTAATAAACCACTTTTCTCAATCAAAGCTGGTAACAAACCACTTTTCTCAATCAAAGCTGGACTCCGCAGAGGAATTGGAACCTGACAGAGAAGAGGATTCTTCTAGCTGTACTGATATTCAAGAAGCTCTTTCTTCACCAGAATCCGATTCATGCAATAGGTAAGAAACATGCAGGAGTTGATTATTTTAAATATCTACCTCATATGCACACATAGATAGTTAGGCAGAAATAATTAGAAAGTAGCTTTGAGGCATGGTATGGTGTGTCACTCTTACATTTCAGTCCCCTTTTACTGCTGGGTCATCTTCACAGTGGTAACAAGGCAGGATTTGGGAAGGAAGTACAGGGATCAGAGGGTGAGTTTGGTATAGGCTTTATATAGCCTTTTTATAGATATTTTTCCTACCGTTGGAAAAGAAAGCATGATAGGCAGTGAAATTTTTGTCAAGACAATGAGTGAAGGAGATAAAAACAACTGTATTGGAAAACAGAGATGATCAGAAAGACATGGCACATAGGAGAGTTAAGAAATGAAAAATTTAACTGAGTAAATAGATGGGGAAACTTTAAAAATGAGAAGTTTGGTAATGAGTCATTTTGAAAAGATATTTTAAAAATATATAGGGTTTATTTTACACACATGCATGCACACATACCATTTTTTGTTCTGGTCTTTCACTTAATATTATGTCATAAATGTTAACATTTCTATAGGTTGGCACAAAAGTAATTGAAACCACAGTTAATTTTGCACCAACATAATACCTTATGTTTATAATTGTTATTTTTAAATGAGTACAGTATTTTGTTATGTCTCTGTACCATAATTTACCAGACCCTTCAGTTTCTGTTAGAGCTCTGCATTTTTTCCAGTGTTCTACTTACGTGCCTGATGCTATGGTAAAGCTCTTCCTTTGTTCCTATTGAATACTTTTTTTTTTTTTTTTTTTTTTTTCATTTTTTCGAGATGGAGTTTTGCTCTGTTGCCCAGCCTGGAGTGCAGTGGCGCAATCTCAGCTCACTGCAATCTCTACCTCCCAGGTTCAAGCATTTCTCCTGCCTCAGCTTCCCAAGTGGCTGGGATTACAGGCCTGTGCCACCTCACCTGGCTAATTTTTTTTGGTATATTTAGTAGAGATGGGGTTTCACCGTGTTGGCCAGGCTGGTCTCAAACTCCTGACCTCAGGTGATCCACCCACCTCAGCCTCCCAAAGTGCTGGGATTATAGGCGTGAGCCACCGTGCCTGGCCACTTTTCTTACATTTATTATTCTGATAGGTAGGCATTGCCTTCCGAATGAATTGTACTGATTTAAAAAATGCTACCAGCAGTATGTCAATATGAGTGTGTCTTGGAAGTTATTTGATCTTTGATGTTAGTTTATTTAAAAATTAGTAACATTGCTGTAGAATGATAGACTATTTCTAATCTAACTAATGGAATTATTAGTACATTTTTTATTAGTATACCCAGTGACCCTCTGTTTTTGTAGGATACCTGGGAAACAGTTTCAAATTAGTCAGAATGAAGTATTAGGAAGGAGAAATCTTCCCATCTCATTCCAAAGATTTTCAAGATCAAAAAATTATATTTCTAGTTGACTGAGGGTAAAACATAGGGTTGCGTGATTTGTTATCGTAGATCAGGCCATTCCTGCAAGTCCAGTGCAGTATTTGTTTTTAAACACACATGTAGGAATACAGAAAAAAAAAAAATCAGAGTCAGGGGAATAAGAGTTAGATTTTAACCATAGTCATTAGATGCTTGAATGTTTTGGAATGCCAGAATGATTTGGGACATTTGGGAATGGCAAAAACTGAAAGGGAAACGTGGGGCAGTCAAATGTCTTTATCTGGTTGTGAGAATATGGGAAGTGGGGCGAGTTTGTTGATGTCCTAGCCTCATTCAGACTTGTTGGCATCACTGAACTATGAGAGGACTATGGGAAAATGTCATTGCTTTTAGGTATACCATGGCCGAGGAACTAGGAGAGCAAGCAGTAGTCTCTGGGTTTAATAAAAAAGGTAAAGGAAATATGGCTGAGGGAAATATGGAGTAAACTTTATTGGGTCAATTTACTAAAATGGGTTAATCCAAAGGCTGATCATTGTAACTCATTACTCACTGAAAGAATTGAAAAGTACTTTCACACTTATCCCCAGTCACATATTGCTCCTGCTGCTACTTCATTAGGGGATTAGCCTTTTCTCATTATTTATCTTCCTACTGACCAAGATTCTGGGTAATATTATAAGTTTTACCATCTTTAATGATTTCCTCTTGATAGGAGTCATATAGGGGTATCCTTATACTACATTGTGAGGTGATCCTTTTGTTAGCAACTGAACGTAAGTACAGTGATGCTAGATTAACTTTTGTTCTCTGTCCATCACAGGGTCTGACATTACACTATTGCACTCAGCCATTCAGCAAATATGTATTGTGTTCCAGGCGCTATTCTAGACACAGCAGTTTATCAGGGATGAAACCATCAAATAATTTTTTTAAATGTAAGCACTTATATTCTACTTCACATTATAATTAGTTGGTAATATATGTACATATTTCTGCATGCACACACACGTACATGGCTCAGTGGAAGTACACACTAATTACATATTTTAACAGTTTTATTGAGATACAATTCATATACCACACAGTTAACTATTTAAGAGTACAATTCAGTGGTATTTAGTATATTCACAGAGTTGTACAGCCATCATCACAATTTTATAACATTTTTATCACCCCACAGAGAAACGCTGCACCCATTAGCGGTTACTCTCCATTTCTTCCCAAACCTCCTGCTCCAAGCCCTAGACAACCACTGATCTTCTTTATGTCTCTATAGATTTGACTCTTGTGGACATTTTATGTAAATGGAATCATACAATATGTGGTCTTTTGAGATTAGCTTCTTTCACTTAGTCTGCTCTCAGAGTTCATCTGTGTTGTACATGTTTCAGTACTATATTACTTTTTATTGTCAAATATTTAATTTTATGGATATACATTTTATTTACTCATTTGTTAGTTGATGGACATTTGAGTTGTTTCCAGTTGCAATTTTAACAAGGAAAAAAATCACCAAGTTTGCTTGCACACTGTGGAAGCTTAGCTTTAGTGATGGTATGTAAGGATTTACTAGGCTTGCTTTGAGAAAGTGGGCAGTGTCTCCTCTAGTACTCATGTCTTAAATTGTACTACAATACTAAATATTTACTCATGGTAAATATTAAGTATGGTAATCTTTACATTTTTTATTTTATTTGGGTTCTTTTTTATATCTGTTTCTGAATCATTCTGCTGTTTTATCAATCCTAAGATCTTTAAGCTTAAAAGGTGGAGTTTATTTCTTGTATAAGACCTAGAAACTGAGGCTAAAGGGAAAGTGAGAAAGAAATGGACCTTAAATAATGGTGTTGGTTTAATATCAGGACAGACCACTTGGCAAATGATTCAAGAGTAGATTGTCAGAGTGAGCATACAGCAGGAAGCAGCTATGGGCTAGCAGGAAAAGTAGTTGGCTTTAAGTTGATGGATTACAGATCAAGTTCTGCCGGGTGATTTTTGATTCAGTCTTTTGAAGTCCATTTCCACATATCTTAGAGAAGCACATTAAAATATCTTATGTCTCAGATCTGTTGGGAAAATGAAATGAGATAATAGATGTGAGAGTCATTGATAAATATATGATTGTTATACCTTCATAAAACAAATCAACTAAATTTTCTTCCTAATTCAGGAAATTAGGACTTATGTCTGGACATTTTTTATTAAAAACTTTTTTTTTTTTCTTTACAGAGGTAACCAAGTTAAATGATTGGGCATTTAGAAGTGCTTTCACAGCCCTCATTTTATTCATTTTAAGACATACGTTTTCAGTTTTACATTTTAATATCTGAAATTGTGATATGTCTTATAATCAGCAATAACTTAAAATTGCTGATGGCCTGGTTGTAGTCATGAGGTATTTGCCAATGGGTGTACGTCACAGCGCTTCATGGTATCATCATTGGGTTGGGTTACATGTATTATTGGCATTCCATTAGTTAGTCACGTAATATGTCTTCAACAAAATAATGAAACCAAAAAAGTTATTATGCATGAAGAAAAGCGCAAAAATAGCAGCAAGATTTAAGTTTGATGTTAGGGAGGTAATGTTCATCATTGGGTGAATGATCTGAATTTTGTGTTTTCTTGAAAAACAGTCAAGTGCCTTACAGGATCTAGGAAAGAAAGATACCCACAAGTATATGAAGACATGTTACATTATGTGTGCAAAGAATTGCCTATTTGTTACATGACAGACTGAAGGCAAGAGAAGTGGCCAAATCCCTTGGAATAAATGGAAGAAATTTCAAAGCAATAACAGCATAACTAATTCTGTTCAGCATGACTAATGCAAAAGAATATTGCTAAGGTTTATCAAGTGTCAATTTGTCAGACACTTCTCCTTTAACAGAAGCTGCTTATCTGCCAACATATGCAATGTGATTGAGGAAACAAAGAAAATTATGACTTCAGTTTGCAGAATGGATGTCAGTGTTTTAGATCAAATTCCTGGAAACAATAGTCTAGTACATCTGAGAAATGCTGGTGCTCTTGGTGGTGCAGAGGATGAGTTTTTGTGGAAAAACTCAGTTATCAGAGATGCTGAGTCAAAATATGATGAAGTAGAGTTGGGGTCTGAATATGAAGACAGTTTAGGAATACTTTAGCCAATTTAACTCAGTTTTTACAAATATATGTACAACAATAGCATAAAGTAAAAACCTATGTCTATCTAAGTTTAACTCTCTGGATACGTACAAATTAAAAATTCTAAGTGAAAGTGAAATATTGTATCATAGTTGACTTCAATTTTTTGTCTTTTAGTGGCAGATAAAATAATGCTTCATCTTGCCATCAATGTTATCTTCAATTTTGTGATTAAGGTCCCTGACTTACTTCAAACATAATTTATATCATCTAGTTGGAAACTCATAAAGTGGCTTATAATACTGGTTGGTGGTAGTCTGACAGAAGACTGTCACAAAGTATTGTGAATCATTGCTTAGTGCCAGTGTTATTTAGTGACTCTGAAACTTAATCAAGAGAGACACCCATTTGATTCGGGTAACTAATACCATAGAAATTAGGAAAAGATTCAAAGTTA